ATTTACTACATCTGTCCTTAGAATCCGAAAAGAAAAAACATAAAAAGAAAAGGCTAGTTCAAAGTCCAAACTCTTCTTTTATGGATATAAAATGTCCAGGTTGCTACGAGATTACCACAGTTTTCAGCCATGCCCAGACAGTGGTTCTTGTGTGAGTTGTTCAACAGTCTTGTGCCAGCCTACAGGGAGAAAGGACAGACTTACAGAAAGGTGTTCATTTAGAAGAAAGCAACGCTAATGATCTACACAACTTTCTGAGTTTGTGTTATCTCACAGAAAGCCATATCATAAATTCAGTAATTCTAGTTAATCTACCAAGAGAATTAAATTTGGTTTGATAAGGTATAAAACAGCAATCTCCTGTTTTGATGTCAGTTTTGCAGTAAAGTTTTGATCTTGGGGAAAAAAGAATTTTTGTACTACACCTTCTGTCATCACCAACATTGTCTTTCATTTGTATATTTTTCTGTATATCGTTTTTTTGGCTCTCAGTTCTAACAAGGAAAACCATTTTATGAAAATGGGACTCAATGCATTGGGTGCCAGTAATTATCCTGAGCAAGTTTATCTCTGTCCTTTGACAAGTAAAAAGCATCTGATTTGGGATGGATAAAGTTCAAGTTAAAATAAATGATGGCCAAACTAAAGATGTAGCAAATATTTAAAATGTTTTAAAATCCTGTAAAATGAAGAATGAGTATCAGTATCAGTACACAGAATTACCTACTAATTGGCTCCTTATTTGGAGCTGATCTAGTTACCGTTACTGCACTTCTGTATCGGAGGCCCGGGGTGTCGCTGTTGGCTAGTTCCAAGCCCAGAATTGGCTCCTGCTGGAGCAGTGGACTTGAGAGAAAAATGCTGTTCAGCTTCCTACAAAGAGCTAGAGAAATTAGAGAACTCATGCACCAAGACAAGAAGGTAGTCTGCTCAGAGAACTCTTGGGATCGTTTAGAGATATCCTTTCCTCCAAATTAGAAAGGCATAGGTGCAGAGAGATAGGAAACATTTCAGGACATTGGGACTTATCAGGACAGAGAGGCAAATGCCATTTCTCTTCCTGTTTTGCTCTGCCAGTGGCTCTCAAACAGATCTACTGTGCTATTTATTCTTGCTATTCTCCAGCATCCCTGTGGCTCACTGATTGGGAACCTCACCGATGATCTGGGGCCTGACATAGGAAATTTGCCTACTCTGAACCTTCAGGTTACTTGCAGAGAAGAATTTCTTTACCATGAGCACCGAAAATGGGGCAATAGTATGGAGCAAGAGCAGATTTGTGACAAAAAGTGGAAGTGTGTTCTAGAATTCCAAGTTGTTATCGAAAAGCCTTTACATATTTTTTCACATAATTGTGCTGATCCAGGATGTGAATGACCACCCACCGATCTTTACCTAAAATATCACTGTGCTGGAAATCAGTGGACTGGTGCTAACTTGGAGACACCTTTGCCCTAGAATCCGTGCAAGATCCTGATTTAGGTATCGGTTCACTGCAGCAGTACTACCTTAGCCCAGAAAGCTCTTCTCTTTGATTCGGAAGGAGACCCTAGATGGCATTAGGTAGTCAGACTTGGCATCCAAGACCCCCCCACCCAAGGAAGAGCAGCCCTGCTACTACCTGGTCCTCCTGGCTGTGAACCAGAGCTAGCTTTCCAGAAACTGTGCTACCCAGACCAGGGTAACTGTCAGAGATGTAAATGATAACTTCCTTCCATCCTCATTATTCATCCAAGACACATACAGGGTCACTGTTCCAGAGAACCTGCCTGCCAGCTTTTTCAATCAGTGGCATGATCATTTGTCTTTGGTAAGGAAGTGAGACGACTATTCAAGCTGAACAGTAACATAGGGGAACTCACCACGAATGGAAGCCTGGACTTTGAAGAGAGAACTCGACATAATTGGGATGAAAGCATAGAATGATGGATGCCACACTGGGTATCGTAAAATATAGAGATTTTGGATGAAATGGACAATGCCCCCTAGATAACCCTGACTTGTAAATCTCAACATAATACAAGAAAATGCTTAGATGGGAACTGCTGTTGCCCTCATCAAAATACATAATCCAGATTCTGGATTTAATGAGGAAAGCCCATGTCCACAAAAGGGAAAGTTTTTTTTATTTTTGGAGACAGAGTCTCACTTTATCACCCTTGATAGAGTGCCTGTGCCATCATAGTTCACAGCAACCTCAAACTCTGGGGCTCAAGCAATTCTTTTGCCTCAGCTTCCCAAGTAGGTGGGACTACAGGTGCCCACCACAATCCCCAGCTATGTTTTAGAGACAGGGTCTCGCTCTTGCCCAGGCTGGTCATGAACTCCTGAGCTCAAGCAATTCACCTACCTCAGCCCCTTAGAATGCTAGGATTAAAGTTGTGAGCCACCATGCCAGGCCTCAAGCAGTTTAAAGGGAAGTTTTAAAATGCATACAGATCACTGATCCCTTCACTATCACAATCCTGGATAAAGACAATCTGCTCCCTGTCCTCCAACATGAACATCACTCTGTACATCTCTGACAGTCAACTACAAAGTTCTGGTTTTCTACCAGGTCTCCTACATGGTTCATGTAGCTGAGAATAACCATAGTGACCTCTTCTCCTTCTCCAGCCTGGCCAGCAACCCCCAGCCATGGTTGCAATCTACCTGTTGATGAGGGCAGACAGTGGGGTGGTGGTCACCCAATAGCCTTCGACCACATACAGTTGTGCTCCTTCTAACTGACGCTAACAGCCAACGACCAGGGTTTACCCACGTTCAGCCCCAACATGAGCTTGTGTGTGTTGGTGGGCGACAGCAATGACAACATGCTGCAGATGCTATACCGGGCTCCTGGTGCTGAGGTCCAACTGGTAGGCAATCTTAGATAGGGTCTTAGCACACACCTTGGAGCCTACTACTTGGTCATCAAGGCAGTGGCAGTGGATACCAACTCTGAGCACAATGCCTGGCTTTCCTACCACATGCTGCAGGCCAATGAGACTTGGCTCTCCAGCCTAGGACTGTGCCTTGAAAGATGGGGGTGCAGCTGGACAGCTCCTGATGGCTGAAGTTTGAGAAGGTGACAGCTGTCGATTTGGCTACCACCACTTAGAACCTATTCTTTGTAGATAGCTTGCAAGATATATCACCTGACTTTAACAACTGCCCTGCAACCTGTGAAACTGTAGGCAGAGCTGCAATTTCATTTAATGGTTCCCTTGGCCTTGATCTCTGTCCTCTTCTTCCTCCAAGCCATTAGGCTATCTCCCTACGCCTGCTTGGCCAAACAGCACTAGCCTGGTCTCTTCTTCAAGAGAGACCTGTTACCGTGAAAGGACCTTGCCTTATTCCTACCATCTGTGTGCTGCCTCACATGCCTCAATGTTTAAATTTCACAATATAAAGTCAAGAAAGGCTGCTCCACAAGGTCGTCTCTGTGAAGAAACCTTTTGGTTTGAAAGAACTGGTCATTACAATCCCCAAATGGCTTCTAATTCAGGCAATTTGCAACAAATAAGTTTCTTCAAACCTTTTCTCCTATAAATATAATTAGTTTCAATTCATTGATTTAGAGATTCAAAGTGTGCAAATTAAATATGTCCTATTTCATTGTGTTTGATTTTGGGGGCGTATACATTGGAAGCTGGAAAACTCCTTGTAGAGTTAGCTATGTTTTGATAGTTCTTTCATAGAAAGTCTCTGTGTGATGGTGTTGAAATTTTTTATAATGCTAAAACAATATAATCAGAAACATTTTGCTCCTCTTTTAACAGAAAATAAGCTGCATTTTATGTATTTATTTATTCTTATTTTAATAGATTTAGGGGATACAAGTTGAATTGTTTTACATAAATATGTTGTATAAAGGTAAAGTCTGGGCTTTAGGTGTACACATCACACAAATAGTGTACGTTGTATAACATGGGTAATTTTTCATTCCCCAGCCCCTCCTAACTTTCTCACTTTTGAGTCTCCAAAGCTCATTATACCACTTTGCGTACCCTGTGTAGTCATAGTTTAGCTCCTACTCATAAGTGAGATCACACGACATTTATTTTTCTGCTCCTAAATTAGTTCTCTTAGGATAATGAACTCCAGTTCCATCCAAGTTACTTCAAAATACATCATTTCATTCTTTCTTATTGCTGAGTAGTACTCCATGGTATATGTACAGACACACACACACCACATTTTCTTTATCAAGTCATTAGCTGATGGAAACTTAGGTTGTTCCATATCTTTACAATTATAGATTGTGCTGAAAAAGCATGTGAGTGCAAGAAACATTTTTAATACATTAGTGTCACATAATGTCATTGTAAAACATATCATCCAGGATTAAATGCAAATCTACACAAGTCAGTGGTTTACTTAGTTTCAATGCTGTTGACCCTAAAATATATATAGCACTATATAGCATAAGATATATTTGTAATATGGCCTATATCAGGGCAGTTCTTAATCTCTATTTTGAATCTCTACATTATTAAAAACAAATAATGACATCTTTAAAAAGCAACTCTCGTGACTAGAACTGTAGTGGTTTGATTAAAATTATATTGTGGTGGTTGTTGCCCTTATTAAAAATGGGACATATGTAAATGATAGTGAGGTGTGATAATTCAAGAGTTATAAAAAATCATATTATTTCTTCTCTTTAAGGTCCCAAGAGATGTTTTCGCAAAAATAAGTGATAAATTTCAGGACACATTTAAAATTATTCAAACTAATGTCTTTTATTCTTCCAAATGCTTTGCTTTCTTGGGGAGAGAAATATTATGAGTGTCATCTCTGCAGTTTTAGCAGAAATAAAATCCTCTGGGTGGTAATATCAACAAATGGTGCAGTATTAAGTTAGGACTCTAAGCGTCGCTGTTCACTAACTCCGGCAAGAAAATCAATGGGAACTCGAGTTACATCCACCAACCATAAAGCGGATCAGACATGAAAGCAGCACAGAAATTCTGACCTGGAACGCTTCACATCTGGTCTTCGTTTGTTAAAGAACCTTGACATCTAATTCTGAAGCGCGAAAGGTGATGTGGACCTGTTCTTCCTACTCTTGATCCCAAGGAAGTCTAAGCAAGCCAGTAATGGCGGCTCTGCAGAGGCGCCAGCACCTAAGCAAGCTGCTCCTGCTCTTTGCTCTCCTGGGGACACTGTATGGGGCTGCGACCCGGCAGATCCGCTACTCTATTTTGGAGGAGCTGGACAAAGGCTCCTTCGTGGGCAACATCGCCAAGGACCTGGGACTGGAACCTCCAGAACTAGCAGAGCGCGGAGTCCGCATCGTCTCCAGAGGTAGGACACAGCTTTTCTCTTTGAACCTGCGAAGCGGCAGCTTGGTCACAGCCGGCAGGATAGACCGGGAGGAGCTCTGCGCTGAGATCCCGCAGTGTCTGGTGAGTTTTAACATCCTTGTAGAGGATAAACTGAATCTTTATCCCGTGGAAGTCGAAATAATGGACATTAATGACAATACACCCAGATTCTCAAGAGAACAGCTGGAAGTGAAAATTCTTGAAAATGCAGCTCCATCCTCTCGTTTTCTCCTAATGGAGGTCTATGACCCTGATGTGGGAATGAACTCTCTTCAGGGATTTAAGCTCAGCGCTAATAATCACTTCTCAGTGGACGTGCAAAGCGAAGCCAATGGGCCCAAGTACCCAGAGCTGGTGCTGGAGCACGCCCTGGACCGGGAGGAAGAAGCTGTTCATCACCTGGTCCTTACTGCTATGGATGGTGGTGACCCGGTCCGCTCAAGTGTGGCGCGAATTCTGGTAACTGTCTTAGATGTGAATGACAATGCACCAGTGTTTACTCAGTCTATCTACAGAGTGAGTGTTCCTGAAAATCTGTCAGTAGGTACACCAGTGCTGTCAGTAAATGCCACTGACCAGGATGAAGGAGTCCACGCAGAAGTAACTTATTCCTTTGTGAAGATTCCAGAAAAGATCTCACAAATTTTCTGCTTGAATGTTTTGACTGGAGAAATTTCAACTTCTGCAAATCTAGACTATGAGGACTCTAGCTTTTATGAGCTGGATGTTGAAGCCCGGGATCGGCCAGGTCTTCTAAGCAGAGCAAAAGTCTTAATAACTATCTTGGATGTCAATGATAATGTTCCAGAAGTGGTTGTTACATCTGGAAGCAGAACAATTGCTGAAAGTGAACCTCCAGGAACAGTAATCACTCTTTTCCAAGTGTATGATCGGGACTCTGGACTGAACGGCCTGGTAACGTGTTCTATCCCGAGAAGTCTTCCTTTTGAACTGGAAAAATCAGTAGACAATTATTATCGACTAGTGACAAATTCATTTCTAGACCGGGAAGAGGTGTCATTGTACAACATCACTGTGACAGCTACAGACAAAGGAATGCCTCCTCTATCTACAGAAACGCTCATCTCTGTAAAGGTGGCAGACACCAACGACAACCCTCCCGCTTTCTCCCACTCACTCTACTCTGTCTATGTTCCTGAGAACAACCCCAAGGGCGCTTCCATCTTCTCTGTGAAGGCGCACGACCCAGACAGTGAGGAGAACGCCCGCGTCTCTTACTCTCTGGCGGAAGACACCCTCCAGGGGGCGCCTGTCTCCTCCTTTGTCTCTATCAACTCCAACACCGGAGTTCTCTATGCGCTGCGCTCCTTTGACTATGAGCAGTTTAGAGACCTGAAGCTGCTGGTGACAGCTAGCGACAATGGAAACCCTCCACTCAGCAGCAACACGTCTCTGAGCCTGTTCGTCCTTGACCAGAATGACAATGCGCCTGAGATCTTGTACCCTGCCCTCCCCACGGATGGTTCCACTGGTGTGGAGCTGGCACCCCGTTCCGCGGAGCCTGGCTACCTGGTGACCAAGGTGGTGGCGGTGGACAGAGACTCAGGCCAGAACGCCTGGCTGTCTTACCGCCTGCTCAAGGCCAGCGAGCCAGGGCTCTTCTCTGTGGGGCTGCACACGGGCGAGGTGCGCACAGCACGGACTCTACACGACAGAGATGCGCTGAAGCAGAGCCTTCTGGTGGCCGTCCAGGACCACGGCCAGCCCCCTCTCTCGGCCACCGTCACGCTCACCGTGGCCGTGGCTGACAGTATCCCTGAAGTCCTAGCTGACCTGAGCAGCCTCAAACCCTCTACCAGCCCTTATGACTCCGACCTCACACTGTACCTAGTGGTGGCGGTGACTTCAGTCTCCTGTGTCTTCCTGGCCTTTATCATTGTGCTACTGGCATTGAGGCTTCGGCGGTGGCACAAGTCACGTCTGCTACAGGTTACAGGAGATGAACTGGCCAGCATGCCCGCCTCTCACCTTGTAGGCATGGAAGGAGTGCGAGCTTTCCTGCAGACCTATTCCCACGAGGTCTCCCTTACCGCAGACTCGGGGAAGAGCCACATCATCTTCCCTCAACCCAATTACGCGGACACGCTTATCAGCCAGGAAAGCTGTGAGAAAAATGAGCCTCTTTTGATACAGGAAGATTCAGAGTTTTGTAAAAAGGAAGACTCCTTTGCTCAGGTGAGGTGATTACTTTTATTGGTTATTTTAACAGGAAATTTTAAATTCTCTTCAATTAATGGTTAGTTTTCTTGTTTATGCAGAATCATAATTCTGACATTTTTCTTTTATATATCAATAGGTCTCTTAAATTTTAATTTTCTGGAATTTTGTGCGGGAGGGGGAGTCTTAATGCACGCACTGCGTTTTCTTTCCCTTTCTAGTTGAGAAACTATTTGTCACTTGGATAGAGGTACAGCTCCTTTCCTAGGTTTTTTCCCATTATGTGACATTTGTAAGATCCTTTCTTTTTCTAATATGAGAAAAAAAACAATTGCACCCTCTGTTACAGGAAATCAAGATCTTGGTTTTTCTCAATGTTACTTCATGATTATAAATGTTTTCTAAATGATGTCAGTTCATGAGAGATATTTTCCATTTTACTACTTAGGATATAAGAGTTACTGATGCTTGTAGCAGGGAACACCTGATGTTTGCTGTTAAAACACCTGAACATATCCCTGGAGCTATCTGTCATTTATTTGAGCCAGTAACAATCTCTATAATCTTGCAAGTAAAATTAAAATTAAAAAGAATTCCCGTAATGACCTCAAACAAATTCTGGGAAAATAAAATAATTTTTATTTTTTTTTTCAAACTGTAAGAAAGTCTAGTGAACAAGTGTTTGTTGACATCACCATTGTGGTAGTTATTGAATTGTTAACAAATAAATGTAAGCAACTGATAGTGTCTGCCTTCTATAATGTCTTTTCCATACTGAGTGCTTAGTAGTACTTAAAGGTGAAAAAACATTTTAAAACATAGCAGTGTTCACTTACAGAGAATAGCTCTAAAAACAGAGGAATGACCGGTGAATGGGAGAATGAAGGATTAATGGCATTCAAATAAAATTTAAATAATTTAGCATTTTAACAACCAGATAAAATAAAGCTTTTGTCATATAGGAACTCTGTATTCAAATATTTGAAGAAAAGGGGTTGTTATTTAGAAGGATGATTAGTCTTATCTATTATGACCAAAATGAGCAAACAAAATCATGGCTTGTTGAGCAGAAAACAGCAAAAATTTTAATTGTCAAAGTGGTTCTAGCAAGAGGGGATTGTTATGTAGGTAAGAGATTCTGTTATTGGTACTCTTCAAAACTAAGTTGATGAGCTGGGAGGAGAACACACCAAAAATTACAGCTACCTGGGATGCTAATGTTGGAGGATTGCTTGAGCCCAGGAACAGAGGCCAATCTGTGCAACATACCCAGACCACACTTCAAATAAAGAAAAAGTGGCTTACGGCCCTGGGATTAATGCATTACAGGGGATTCTTGATGAATTGTTAAACTACATTATAGCCAAAGTTTTTTTCCAATCTTGAGTTGGAGGATTCAACGATCTGATAATAGAATGGATTGGTTACTTGTTCGTGTAAATTTGGCATACACAGGTAAGCAAAAGTAATTGAAAAGATACCTTGAAAAATAAATAAGAACCTCCTCTGTGGCCCAACTTTGTGGATTTTTGTAAAGATAACATTGAGTTACTGTTATTTAAATAAGGTGCTAAGAGTAATGCACATTTTTCTAAGTCAATGTTGTGATATTTACCTTAAACAAGTATTATAGAATTATTTCTTTCAAATTTCCAAATGTATTATATGCCTAAGCAAGAAATTTTAATCATAACCATTTTCAAATATTAATTGTTTGCACATTTGGGATATAAGTTAATGGTTTTAATCAGAATTTAATGATAAATAATTATAAACAACTTGAATCTTGGCTATTAGTCCCATGAATCAGATAGTGTCTTACACAATTGTAATGATTTATTTCATACACTGATAGTATGAATGTTATTTTACTATATCACCAATTTTGGGTGATTTAAACCACATCTTGAACATTCGTTGTTATAGGCAAAGCTCACTAAGTTTTATAGATAGTAAGGTGGTGTGTTTTACTCTCTTATTTGAGTTCCCTCGGACCATTTCAAACAAATAGAACATTCAGATTCTGCTCTCACAATTGTCATTCATTCATGTGGACTGACCAACTGGTAAACATCCTGGCAGCAATGGAATTTGCTAATTCTGAGTAAATGTCACTCTTTGATTTAGCATTCAGATAATTCATAGTAAGATAAGCTGTCCTAGATTTTAATTCATATATTGAATTTTGAAGCATCAAAAAGAAAAGCTACCAAACTGTTGAGCTATTTTATCATCTGTAAAAGCATCCTTTTCTGATCAAACTTCTGTTC